AGATAGTGAATTCTTTTATATTACAGACAATTCTTATATTATAAACATTTCATAATAATAATGGCGTATATGTTATCTCATTACTGCCCCCCCCAATCTATCACACCACTCTACTGATTATGAACAACAGATTAATGAAATTTAATAATTATAATTTACTCAAATTTACAGTAATTTATATCTTCTTACTCGTTGTGAAGTTTAAATAAGTTTAAAATTTGTGCCAAAATTTCATCAAATTTAAGAAAAATCAAATTAATTCATGTCTGTAATGATTAATTTTATAAAAAAATATTTGTGACAATTGGTGATCGGGTCTATGGGTTGGGCAGTAATGAGATAACATATACGCCATTATTATTATGAAATGTTTATAATATAAGAATTGTCTGTAATATAAAAGAATTCACTATCTTATCATGTGATAACAAAGTATACAAATGTTATGTACGCAAAACTTGATTATAATGAGAAACATATTGTTAAATAATCTTGCTTACTAAAATAACTATTGTGACTTAATGGAATAAATATTTATTATATATCTTGTTTGTTATAATTATAACATTTGATAATAATGTCTGAAATATTGAATAAATTTGAAATCTGTGCCAAAATTCCTAACAATTTAAAACAAGAAATTAAATTATTTTACATTTTTGGTGATCATTACATCGATTCGGAGAAAAGAAATATATTGTTTGTGACGACTAGTGATCGGGTCTATGGGTTGGGCTTTAATAGGTATGGAGTGTTGGGTTTGGGACACAACCGACCCATACATACACCCGAAGAAGCACTGGAATTAAGTAATAATAATATACAACAGTTTTTCATTGGATATAATTATGGATTGGCTTTAAATTGCAATCACCAATTATTTGTCTGGGGCGGCGGTTATTCATATATTAAACCGCATAAAATATCATGTTATCTACGTGATATACGTATTGAGAAAATATCATGTTTTGGATCCAAAACTATTTTCCTCACATCCGATGGACGGATATATCAATTTAGTGATCATTCAATTGACACACAAAAACCAATTAGAAAACAATATGCCATGGGAAATAAAATTGTAGACATTATGTGCTGTTATAATTCATCATTTGCCATTACATCCAATGGACGGGTATTTATTTGGGATAATCACAATATAATAAATGCAAAATTATTAGAAAATGTTCATAATATAAGAATAGTATTTTATATGGACTATGGATACATTATGTTATCAAATGATAAGCATGTTTATATATATGACAATAAGCTGATGGAAATCAAACTAACCGACCGTAATTTATTATTTAATGACCTTGTTCAAGTATCAACACCGGATTCTGATTTTGGTAAAGTCGTTGGAATAAGTGGTCAAAAGGTTTACGAGTTTAGCATAAATTTTATTGAAACAAAATATACAACATTTAAGGATTACTTCGCTAATGAATATCAAATCACTTATAAAACAATTAATATTACCGAACATATGGATTGTGTCGTAACACCCAAATCAATAAAACAATATGGTAATATCATTTTAAATTTTCAATAAAAAATTAATTATTATTATATATTTTAGAAACCAATTGTGAATTTAATAACATTGAAACGTATAAAGAGGTGAAATTGTTAGGATCGGGTGGTTTTGGAGATGTGTTTGAAATGAAGGCTAAATACAATGGAAACACATTTGCAATTAAAAAATGTCAATTAAACGGTAATGATTTGTTAAATTTATTAATATTTTATTAAATAATGTTTCTTATAATAACTGACAAATTAAATAAACATTTCATATTAAGGTTTGACAGAAAAGTATAAACAAAATGTTTTGAAGGAAACGCAACAATTGGTAAAATTGCGCTCAGAATATGTGATTCAATACTATTATTCATGGATTGATAACAATGACAATTGTCTGTATATTGTTATGGAGTGTTTGGCCGGAAATTTAACACAACTTTTAGAAAATAAGAAACAAATATTTAAGGAAATAAAGAAACAAACAATGATTTCTGATTTTGAATATTATATATCATATGAAATATTCAAACAATTGGTGGAAAGTGTGGAGTATTTGCATAAAAATAATATCATTCACAGAGACTTAAAACCAGATAATGTGTTGATTGCCAACAATTATAGTTACATTAAAACTAATTATAGATATATAAAGTTATGTGACTTCGGTTTATCTAAATCCGTGGATGTATTGAGTGATCGATACAATAGAAGTATTTCTAAACACACCAAAGATGTCGGAAATGTTAATTATATGGCACCCGAAGGACAGACCACTGAATACAACCATTTAATAGATGTCTATAGTCTGGCACTCATTGGAGCGAAAATATTTGGTTTCCATTCCGACGATATCAGAGACGGAGTGTATGTTATTATCCAATATTAATACAATTTATTATAAAAAACATTTAATTAATACTATATTTTTAGATTGAATTTTAATTTTGAAAATATTCGTAATGTAAATCTTGGGATAAAAATGATGAAAATGTACAAAATATTACTCTCAATGAGTGTTAGTATATATACAGATCCGGAGGCCGACAAACCGTGGAAACGAAGGCCCGAATGTGAAGTAATTTTAAACAAATTACAATATTTATCGATTAAACCGATTGTTGAGAAAATAGATTTATTATTAAATAATAATTTAATTGAAAACAAATTTAAATTATTTTATGACTATTTTCTATATTTCAACATTTGGGTTATTTGCCAAACATATGATGAAAATATTGGTAATTTAATATTATTTTTACATTGTAATTGGTTTAAATTTATTTAAAATTATTGTAGAAATCACCGCATTTGCTAAATCATATGAATTACAATTCTCTCGAGATATTGAACAAGACAATCTATTAACAAATATAAAACATAATACAACTAAAAACCTCTATTATATATTGGAGTGTCAACTATACTGTAAGTGCTTCAGTATTGAATTAAATATATTATAAAATTTTTAAAAATAATATTTTTAAAATTCCCATATTTGTATTATACTTTCCAATAGGTCACAGTATTAGAAAGTGTTATTTTAAAAAAAAATTTTATAACCATAATTATATTTTATTTAAAATATAATACAGTATTAGACCATTTGGGCGAAGTAGCAGTTGTGTGAACTAACGATTTGTATGAACCAAACCCTGAACCCGCACTACATTGACATAATGTTAAAAAAGTACCAGCTGTGTGAACCAAATGCTAAAACCCAATCACTTCACCCAAATGGTCTAATACTGTAGTTATATAATATTTAATCAAACTATCATATATTGTTTTATTAGATATTAATTCATTCAAACATTTTGTGGCATATATTAAGAAAATATTTGAATATAAATCTCAATATTTACTTCGAATATATCACTCTTGGATTGAAAACAATGAGATTTACATTCAATGGGAATATTGTTCGACAACTCTATGGGATGTCATAAATGCAAAACACGTGATATTTGGGACACAAACCCATCACTCGTTGGCAATTATTTTAATTGATTTCTTGATTTCACAGCAATTGTTGAAACAATTATTTTATTGTATTAAAGGATTGATTGCTTTGGATATTGATATTTCAGACATTTTACTCTTTTCGAGGCATATATTTATTACAAACGATTATATAAGGGGTGAAAATTATATGAAATTTTGTTGCAATTGGAAAAACTATTTATTAACAACTCCAAATGAAACATTTATTACAACTCCTAAATCATGGGCAATTAATAAAATCGGAAAAATTGTTAGCGAATTGTTTGAAATACAAATAAAACAAATTAAGTATAAATATTTATTTATTATGTAATTCAAATAATCTTATAATTATCAATAAATAATAATCCGTAGCAATAATATTAATTACAAGTCATATATTTTGGGTAATTTTGGTCTAAATATTGATAAATTTCAAGCATTTATTAATCGACTACTCGTGGAGTCAGCGTATATATCAAACAATAAATTAGAGAAAAAATCAAAAGAGAAAAATCAAGATATAATAAATATAATGAATGAATTCAATGATATTTTTGGTGACAATTCAAAGCAAATAAACGCTAATATAATCACAGAAATGGAAAATGAATTTCAAACACTAAAACCTATATTAACAGAAGAATCAATTGATTGTGAATTCATTCAAAATTATTTCAAACAAATACTTAAACAACAAAAACAGTAATGAATTGATTTAGTAAAATAACTGACAAACAAATTACAACTTTTATACTTTATAATACATCTGTAGTATTACCTCATCTGGGTACCGGTCCCGACACGTCGCTCGTAAACTACACTGTTGTCTACAATAAAGTAAATATTCAATATAAAATATATATTGTATTGTTTATATACAGGGTGTACATTATTGGACTCCGCAAAAATAAACTCGAATATCTCGAAAGGTATTCGGTCTAGAAATACAAATGATATATCAAAATACTCATCAACTGCGTGAGTTTTTGTTGTGATATGGTCAACATGGTAGACTTCCTAGTTTAGTAATAATCTCAAATTAAGCAACATTTTATCATTTTTTCCATAGACATAATGCTAAATTCAAACTCATTTTTGAGCAAAATTTTAAAATGGTTCTCAAGTTATTTTTGCTCCTGTTTAAGAATATGTAATCAAAATTTTTGTGCTGCATGTAGTTTTTGTATTATAGAAGATTTGTTGCAAAAGTTGTGTATTTTGAGATCAAATAAATCTGAAATAATGAAAAATCATTAATTAACCAAAAACTACATGCAGCACAAGAATTTTGATTACATATTCTAAAACAGGAGCAAAAATAACTTGAGATTAATTTTAGAATTTTGCTCAAAAATGAGTTTGAATTTAGCATTATGTCTATGGAAAAAATGATAAAATTTTGCTTGATTGGAGATTATTACTAAAATAGGAGGTCTACCATGTTGACCATATCACAACAAAAACTCCCGCAGGTGATGAGTATTTTGATATATCATTTGAATTTCTAGACCGAATACCTTTCGAGATATTCGAGTTTACTTTTGCGGAGTCCAATAATGTACACCCTGTATTGTTATATATTTGTATTTTTATTTGTTATTGTTTTATATAAAGTTTTACAATTTACTTTACTTACTGTACTTTATTTACAATTTATATATTATTTACATTCAATATTCTATACAGTGAACCGAACTGTTCCTGGTCATTAAATTCATAACATAGACAGTTGGCAACATAGCGCGCCTATGTTAATGTCGGACCCTGGTCTTTACCATCTCTAGTCATATTACCAAACACTTGCANTGGTCATTAAATTCATAACATAGACAGTTGGCAACATAGCGCGCCTATGTTAATGTCGGACCCTGGTCTTTACCATCTCTAGTCATATTACCAAACACTTGCACTCGTTTCATAAAATTTTATTAATATTTAATTGATTAGAAATATTTTTTAATAAGACAATTATTGTAATATTATTTTATATTAAAATGTTAAACATTATTATAGCTATTCAATTTATTTGATAAATAATAAATGTTTTTTAATGACCATGCATGGACCATGCAGCATGGTCATAAATTAATTCACTCAATGTCTGTTTGTCAATATTTGTTTTAAAGGCAATATTATAATATTACTAAAACTAATCATGATAAAAAATTAATAACATTCACTTTTCATGCATTACATAAGCCATTTACTGTATATCTCAAGACTTGTACACCAGTTATACCATTAGATAATTATTTTGTTAATCTCTTTATTCGTGTGTTTCTTAATACGGATTTCGGGAGAAAAACCAAATGAAAAACATTTATATCAATAGTATATACAGAATATAACACAATATACAGTATATATACGTTTAAATGGGTTTATAATTCACTGCGAAAAAGACACCGTGTATTCAATTATCTCTCCCTTCCCTACACTATATAAAAGTATTGTATTCATAGCACTCGGATCCCTGGCCTCCCTATATGTGTGCACATAATAGCTATACTAACAATTGTATTGTGAAAATCTAAACGCTTTTCTCAAGACTATAACTGTTTAACTGTCAGTAAGAGATGAGAGAGAGAGAGAGAGAGAGAGAGAGAGAGAGAGA